TCTAGATGTATAAATATAATTTCAAAACCTTTATAGTTAATTTTTTTGTCTATTAAAGCCTTATAATTGTGTGTGTTTTCATGTTTATTAATATTCATGTAAACAGTCTTCAGATTACACTTCTTTTTACGGATGCAATACTTTTCTCGTACTTTTCTACCTTGTAATCTAAATTAATTCTTGATGAAAATCTAAAAATACTAATTAGTATGCGTGTTTAAAATATATCAAGGATTTTTCTTTAAAATTTTTGTGTGAAATATTCGTATAAAATATTAATAAATCTAATTAAAACGGTTAATTTGTAGTCATTAATAATATGTATAGTTTTTAAAAATTATAATTGTTTTCTAAATTTAAAAAAAATAGTTTATTGAACCGTTTTATTTACTGTATTAACTTCTTTTTTACATATTAAAACCTGGAACTTTTCCAATGATACAAAATAGAATGAATAAAAATATCCGATTAAAATTTTAAATATATTCAAATATTTATATGAATTTTCAAGTTATATTTGCATCTATTTAATTTTAACTTTTATATGTGATAACTATATAGATACTTATATATAAGTGTATATAAACTTGTATATATGTACATTAGAGCTAAAAGTATTTCTTTCCAAGATAATTTTTCCTGTGCTTTTTTTCGCACTATTTTGAAGAAGTTCTTGAAAATTTTACTGCTCGTGAATTATGGATGTAATATATTTTATATTCATATAATTTTTTATTACCATAAATATTGCATCTTTGCAACAATTTCGCTTTCCGTAAGATATTTTTCTGACCTTTTTTTATTATGAATATTTTATTTCCTGTTCTTTGGATTCTAGTAAGGAAGCAATAATTTCTAAAATGCAATCTTAAATGCTGAAACTATTAGGAGTGCTTATATATACTCATGGTTCTGTAGCTTTAAAAATACCAAAAGTTTGATTTTTCTTTTAACATTTGTTTTATAATATCTTTCATGTGTTTCCCTCTAAATCATTTACAGTAAAATAATTATTTTGCTAACGCAGAATTTTTTGGAATAAGTTGAAATACTTTTTTTCCCATCAGTAATTATATATAAATAGTTAAAATATTTAATTTATTTAAAAAAAAAGTCATTTAGCATTTGAAGGATCGAGAGATAGCAGTTAAATCAAGCGAGAAATTAAAATTTTTTCCCATGGAATTTTTTTTATGTATTAAATTAATTGACTACATAAAACCAGCTGTAAAGGCAGTAAAAAGACAAAACGCATATTCTATTTCATGCTTCCTTTAGTTAAAGATTTAGTAGTTTAAATTAAAACCACTTTTATTTCTTAAAAAACTTTCGCTCCAAGTATTTCAACTATTTTATAAAAAAAATTATAGTTTGCCAAACAAATTCATTGGTTTTGAGTCCAAAAAGTTGATTTTTCGCGAGTGAATTTTTCTTATAAACCAATCTCTTTAAATTATTATTCTGTTAATTTATAAGTTAAGCTTTTCTAGAAAAAAGATTGAAAAAAAATCCTGTACACACAAAATCGATTTACAGTTTAATATATTTTTTTCATTAAAAAAATCGATGATTCAGTAACACACTTCAGACGTAATCTAAAATATTTTTAATGTATTCTTTCAAATTTAAGAAAAACGAATTGAAATTGCATTTTTCGTGAAATGTAAGAATTCATTGATCATACAAAATCCAATTTTTGCTTCAAATTTATTTTGGTCGGAAAATGCGAGAATTCTAAACAAGAAAAAAAAATTGTTTGTATATATCACCGAAATCTATTTTTTACGATATAAATTTATTTATTTTCTGGAAATAAAATAACTCTTCATTATCAATTTAAAGCATCGCTAAAGTAATTTTTAGAGTTTTAAATATAAAAATCTATGTTACAAGTTGACACAAAAAATAATAAATTTCCTATTCAAAATTCAACTAATATTCAAATGTTTGCAATTGTTATATTGCTAAGCTGATTGGTCGAATAAAGAATTAGATGTGCAAATTGCCGGATTGCATTTGAATTTCTTTAACAAAAGGTTTACGTTTAAAGGGGACTACATTTGGAATCGTAATTTTGAAAAAATTATAAATTAAAAAGTCTTTTGATATTCAGTGTTTGTTTAACTTAAAATATATATATATATAAAATTATTTTCAAAATATTATTACAAGAAAAAAATTATTTGAAAACAGTTTTTTGGAAAGAAATGAAGAAAGGATAACATTTCAAAACATTTTCCTTTTATGTGAAAAATACTTCTACGAGTATAATGATAATATCTTCTGAGTTACGCTCAGTTGAACGGGTGTTTTTTGTTAAAATTTTTCTACTCTGATATAATAAAATATGAATAAATCCACTTCTAAATTATATATTTCGAGAATATTTGTTCAACCCCCGGTGTAGAAGTACTAGTTATATATAGACAAAATTTACTATCATGGAAGCATTTTTCATAAGAGGAGAATATTTTAAAAATCTGCCCTTCATTCTTCTTTTTTAGGCCACAAATTTACATTTAATAATTTGATCTTGCAACAGGGGCTTAACGTACACCCCAGGTGGGGGTCCAGAGTTCTAGAAGGCCCAAAGCCCGACTCTTGCCTAATACATATCTTTTGTAAGATATGGCTTGGGGCTCTAAACCTGTCTTTGCAGAAGGGCCCTAATACTCTCCATTACGCCACTATCTTGCAATATTTTTAAAACAATTTTATATGAATACACTGGAACGTCGTTTATCCGAATCATTTGGTTCTGGACATCGTTCGAATACGCGATTGTTCGGATAATCTAATACCGAATGCGATCCATGCAGTATATGAAACCGGACACTAAGTGAATATTGAAAATCATCTCATGTGGGAAACGAGCTTGAAGAAAAAGAAAAAATAGGTGCAAAATGTCGCAATTTTACCTTTATTGGGGAAAATAATCACTTATTTTTCGCTGTACCATTGTACATCATCGTTTTTTTCGCTGCAAGGTCTCTGATTCTCTTGAGCAGCAGTAGTTGAATAGGACAGCACTCTGATTGTTGTTCGTACCACTCTATAGCCTGTCTCTAACGCAGAAAACGCGTCAGTATTTGATGGACTCTTGCTACTTTCGTTGTTGTTGTCCTCGTCTTCATCCGTTTCATCGTCGACAGGGTCGGATTCTGCTTGCACGGAAGTCACAATCTCGTCATCATTTAGCATCTGAAATCCACTGAGTCTTCTGCACCGATTGCCCTCTAGGTTTCTATATCTTCATTGCATTCTTGAAATCTCAGGATCGATTGGACAAAGTCGGTAATCACATCTCTGTGGTTGTCATTGTATTCTTTTTCGCCTTCTAAGTTGACAAAAGTTGACAAAAAAAAACTGGTTCGGATATTTGACGCTCCGGATAATTGAGGTTCGGATAAACGTCGTTCTACTGTATTCTAATTCAACTGACACTAAATATTAAAAAAAATGTTCATTTATAGGCTTTTTTAAAATCACGCGATTCCGGGCATAGTCAGTCACCTTAAGCTGTCAAAAATCTAGTTTTAATTTCAAAGCATCGAGTTAAATTTGTGAAATGTCAAATGCAATTAATTTGTACAAGATTCAATTTAGAGTATAAAAGCTGTATAAACACTTCTGCTATTTATTTATTTGGTGATGTATTACAGCTATAGAAACAAAAATCACGAGAGGTTTTTTTTATACAATATAAACTACTAAGGATCCAGATGCTAAACAACCACAAAGAGACATTTCTTTTGAATATATCTTATCGATTTGTCATTGAAACTGACGGAGAGAAGCCGCTTGGAACCGCTAACTGCTCATTATACTTTACGATAATCCGATGCTGATTCTTATTTAAGATGCCTGTTACTCGATATGCGTGATTAAAGGACTTTTTTCATTCCCCTCTTCACATAAACCTGAAATAGAGATCACCTGTTGTTTCTCTCCCCATCTGTCATGTGTTCTTTTTCTCTTTCAAAGAAAGAACTGTTCCGGCTCAAACCAGACTAGTAATTTTGGTATCAGACTAGAGTGCAAGAGTAATAAAAAGTACAAAAAAAAGTTTTTAAAACAATTTTTAAACATATAATGAAGCTTTTTTTAACGAAACATTTTTAGAAAAGTGTTCTCCAGTTTTTATTTTACATTTTTTATTTTATAGAATTCATTTCGTGTTAGAAAAAAAATTCCAAATTAGCAAACGATTAATTTTTTCCCCTACTTTCAAGAAATTGAAGAATCATTCGATTTGTTAATGAAGAAATACTGCTTAAATTTAGCAATTTATCTTTCTCGAAATTCATTAGAGACAGTAATTTAGTTAACTAATTTGAAAATTAAGGGATTTAATTTGCTGCGTATGAACATTACTCACTTTTAATGACTTAATTAATGTTTTGCGGATACTTCGAGAAAACAGTTTGTTCAAACGATTTCCTTTGTTTGTTCTTGTGATTTTTGAATGAGAGAAAAAGGTGGCAGAAATTAAAAAATTTCTTTTCAAAAAGTAAATTTTCATCTAAATTTTTCAAAACTTTTTGTTAGGATTTTGTAAGTTCTTATTAATAATCTATTATGTTAGATGTTTAGTATTATCATAAATATTATAGTTTCTTTTTATGTAATATAGTGTAATTAATTTTTGTTCTTTATAATTTTAAGTGAATAATGCTAATATTCAAAGATAGTGACATTAAAACAGATTATTCCTATATTTAATATATGTGATGAAGTGAATTAATCATTTTCTTCAATTCCTACTATTAGTTCACACTCTCCCTATATATATATAGTTCAAATTTTCAATCCTTAATAAGACACTTTTTATTCATCCACTGAAGTTCAAATATATTTTTTAAACTCGTAGTGGATGACACTTGATGTTAATACAGTTTTTTGAAATATTAATTAATTAATTCTATTTAATTTATGAACAAATAGTAACGAACAAAAATAATAGTCCAACACCATAAGTAAAAAGGAAAATAACTCGTTGTGTCCCTGTAGCGCCATGGATAGCGCGTTGGATTTCGAACCCAAAGGTCGTGGGTTCAAATCCCGCCTGGGATGGCCTAATTTCTACGAATGTGATTTCTTTTTACTATACTATTTTATTGGAATAATTACGTTTAATTTATGAATAAATAGTAACAAACACACACAAAGAATGGTCCAACACCACATATAGAAAGAAAAATGAAAAATTGCAAGGCAAATCGCTTTCTATTTTGCCACTTAATATTGTGATTCTATACCATATGTATATACATATTTATATGTGAATTATAATTATTTAATAAAAAGTAACTAAAATAAAATTTTTCTTTCTCGACCTTTGCAAGAATTGACTTAAATTTTTTTTTTATATTACTTGTTAATTGTATGCTACTACATATACTGTTACATATATAATACTATTACATATAGCAATCTTTTCATCATATATAAACACCTTTTTAGATATCTTGCTTAAAAATAGAAACAAATGAAAAAAAAAATTTTTTTTTATCTTCATTAAGATCATAAATATTGTTCTTTGCGCCCGATACATAATTTTTTTTTTATATTTTTGAAAAGACTCATTAAGAGTTATTTATTTCTGAAATTTTTTTGTTACCTTTTGTGTTTATAACATGATGAAAAAACTCCTTTTTAATGTAAAATTTTTATAGACCATGCAAAAAATTGAGAATAACAAGCTTATTTCGTAAAACTGATAAAATAAGAATTCTGAAATTGTTATTCCTCTTTCGCATTTTTGATTTTTAGTGAATATTTATAAGGTTTATTTTGTCGTGGATATATATTAAAAAGCTTAATGAATTTTTGAGATAAAATGATTATACGGAACAAAATTCTTATAGTTCAAAATTTGAATAAAGGGATGATAATTTTATTAATCTACAACAGAAAAATAATTTTACATTATTCTGAAATTTTT